TTCTTTCATTCACCTTCTTACTACACTGTTGTCAGCTGCAGTTCATTTTTCATTGGAAAAATCAACTTTGGCAGTTAAAGATAAAAAATTGACCCATTGCAACATTTTCCATAATCCATTTGGGCAGGCCTCCTGTGTTCATACAATAGATTTGTGCCTCCCTTAGGAAGGCTGAGGTTCCTTAGAATAATGCAAAACCTTTTATATTTTGCTTTGAGGATTTGGGGATTAGCCTTCCAATCTTACCTTGGATCCCATGAACACACATACTAATATCTAAATCCCAGTGGGAAAAGATATGTGAGCAATTAAACAGTTCTACTGTGGAGTTGATTAAACAAAAAATGAAATGATGTGTTTTTCTACATCCTGAGAATGTCTCAAAGAAAAAGTTATTTTGGCTCTCAATATGGTAGATTATTTTATATAAAACTGGATTATGACATTTGCTATCCAGTTTGATTTAATCAGCTCAAAGCAATTTATCAAACAACTATCAGAATGTTCTATGTGATAGGATGGTGGAATAAACAAGAAAGAAACAAAAATGTATCTATCAAGCTGTGGAGAAGTAAAAGATCTTGAAAGTAAATGTGTAGATGGATGAATGAAGTTAATGACTGATATTTGTTATATGTGCATTTATGTTCAAATGTAATTCTGGCCATCCAAGGACAGAATATATCAGAGAATCTCCATTCAATAAATATATTTTATTTGTGAAAATATTGTGCCAGGCAGTGTTCTAGGTACAAAACAGGAAAAATGAGGATAATTTGAACTCAACATTATGAATTTTGTCAATTACAGAATAGCGAATGAGAGGCAGTAGAGGAAACAACATAAGCAATTATCTGGAGATTGGAAGTCCTTGGCATGATTAGAGACTTGGAAATGAGATTTATAGAGAATGTGATGCCTATTGGAGAAAGATAATACTCAAAACACACACACACATACATATATATATAGGCAAAGAGAGATATGACCAGTTTTGACCCTCTGTCTCTTCCCAGATGATTAATCTCAGCTGAAAGGAACTCTTCTTTTTCAATAATTCTGGCAAGATCTCATGGTTAAGTCATTAGCTTACTAGTGTCCACCCAGAAACTAATCACTGGGATCAGAATTTATAGGAAGCTAATTTAATAGGTTTATAATATAAGGGATTTAGAAAATATAATGAATGCTTAAAATAATATCAGGCAGAGCAAAAAAATGTTAACGAGGATATGGAAACTTTAAAAAGGTATGGTATCATATATATGACCCACTTGTTTAATCGAAACTTAAGATAACATAGAGAACAGAAGATAAGAGTAAAAACAACAATATCAATAATGGCAGATAATTTATTAATCAGTTATATTATACCATACATAATGCTAAGAACTTAAGATGTATCATTTAATTTTTATGAAAAATTTTTAAGAAAAGTAGATTATTGTCAATATTTTGCCAAAGAGAAGATTTTAAAAGTTATAAAATTATTGCCTTGAAATTGAAATGCTGGTAAAAAACAAAATAACCAAAAGACCAAAAAGTAATACCCAGAAGTACTCGTAGGACATGTACTTCAAATTTTCTTGGAAAAAAACATAGAATATGAGGCAAATGTATATGCATTCCATGTGAAAAATAATAAAGTCAGTTTAACAAGAATGGTTTCATGTGTGGCCGGCCTGGTTGCATAGTGGTTAAGTTTGTGCATTCTGCCTAGGCAGCCCAGGGTTCACGGTTTCAGATCCCCAAGAGGACCTGGCACAGCTCATCAACCACACTGTGGCAGCATCCAACATAAAGTAGAGGAAGATTGGCAAGGATGTTAGCTCAGTGACAATCTTCCTCAAGCAAAAAGAGGAAGATTAGCAACAGATGTTAGCTTAGGGCCAATCTTCCTCACAAAATAAACAAACAAACAAACAAAAAATAAAAGTATGGTTGCAGGCATTACAGATGATGGATAGACATATCTCTTTATGTACACTTTTTTAGAAATATATTGATGTTATTTCAAATCAGGAAACTACGTCTAACAATATCACCCAAAAAACCCATTCAAGACAGTTAGAGATCAGAGAAGAGCAGCATAGGTACCTGATACACTTGAACTCTCCAAGAAAGAGGATAAGACATGGTTTAATAAAGATAGGCAGCTGGAAAACAAAAAAAGCATGCATCATCCGTTAGCTCAAAAAATACATCCCTATTTTACTTTCCATTCACATCCACTCAAAGCTAGCCCCTCATTGAAAGTCTTTGATAAAACCCTGACTCTTGCTAAGAAAATAGCTTTTCAAAAGGGAATTTGGATCTCAAAACTCTTGAGAGCTTCTTTCACATCCTTGTTCCTCAGACTATAAATCAGGGATTCAGTATGAGAATCACTGCATTGTAGAATACCGAGGCTACTTTGTCAGTATTAATACTCTTGACAGATTGGGGCTGGAAATAAATGAAAAGTATTGTTCCATGGAAAACAATGATGGCTGTGAGGAGGTAGGTGCAGGTGGAAAAGATTTTGCACCTTCCGTCTGCAGAGTGCATCCTTAGGATGGTGATGAGAATAACAAGCAGGAGGTGTGGATGATCTCATTGAAAGTGGCCACAGTGAACACCACAAGTTCATTCCTAGAGATATCATAACAAGAAAGCATAAAGAGAGGGAGTAAATCAAAAAAAAAAAGTGGTTAATTACATTCGACCTATAGGATGGGATTTCAAGAGCTAAACATGTGAACCAGAGAACACACAGTTCCAGAGAAGTACCGCCAGAAACCAGCACCATTCAAAGTTTCTGGGACATGGAGTCCATGTACAGCAGTGGGCTACAGATGGCCAAGAAATGATCATAAGCCATCACAATCAGCAGGAACACCTCAGTGACTGCACATGTCCAAAACAAGTAGAACTGCATCATGCATCCCAGGAAAGAGATGACTTTTTTCTTGTTTAAGATATTGGATAAGATCTTTGGCATGATGATTGTGGAACAGCAATGATCCGCAAAGGATAAATGGCTGAGAAAAAAGTGCATGAGGGTGTTAAGTTTAGAGCTGACCTGAATCAGTGCAATTATGTCAAGGTTGGCCCAAACGTAGTGACTCCATATGTGAGAAGGAACAGAAGGGAGAGAAAGACTCTCAGCTCAGGGGATCTGATAATCCAAGAACAATGAACTCTGTCACAGTGGTACAGTGCTCTTCTCCTATTTCCATCATATATCAGGTTTGGGAAACCAAATGATGAGTTTTTTTTGGTTTCTTCTGAAAGTAGAATTAGAGAGAAAATAGATTTATATAAACTTCAAAAAAGTACATCAATATTAAACATAGTACATTTAAAACACAATTGTCAAATAACTCAAAATGTTCACCATCTCAGTGGAGCCCATGGATAAAAATTAATTTAAAAATCAGCAGAAACCTATCTGTGAATAAAATTAGTTTTACTTCAAATCAGGAGAACAGATTGATTTATTAATCTATATCTATTATCTATCTATCTATCTATCTATCTATCTATCTATCTATCTATCTAACTATCTGTCTGTCTATCATCATCACCAGTACTGAGAGTGGACATCCTGCATTGTTTTTCACTATAGGGGAAATCATTCATTCCCAAAGCATTAAGTGTGATGCTAGAAGCAAGCTTGGTAGTAATTTTCTCTATTGAAGTAATTGAATAAT